CCCCCGAACGATCAGACTCTCTCTCCCCACACACACACCCCCGAACGATCAGACTCTCTCTCCCTACACACACACACCCCGAACGATCAGACTCTCTCTCCCTACACACACACACCCCGAACGATCAGACTCTCTCTCCCCACACACACACCCCGAACGATCAGACTCTCTCTCCCCACACACACACCCCGAACGATCAGACTCTCTCTCCCTACACACACACAGCCTGAACGATCAGACTCTCTCTCCCCACACACACACCCCTGAACGATCAGACTCTCTCTCCCCACACACCCCCCCCCCGAACGATCAGACTGTCTCCCAGGCTTGTCATTGGTCCTCAACAAACTATTCAAGATGTTTCTGCTGTAGAAGAATTCATGCGGCAGAAGCACTAGCAGTGTTTTTTAAAATATCATCCACTCAGGCCACTGTAGTGTAATATCCACTACAGTGTTTGGTTTTACGTGTTAGCTGATGGCAATAGTGTGTGCTGAAAGGAGCAACTACAAGAAATATTAATTACTGCAGTGTGATGGTAGACAATGTATTTCGTGACCACTACAGACAAGCAGAAGAAAAAAAACAGTTTTTAAATGCAGATTTAATGTGATTTTGCCATTTTTAACAACCACAGTTTTTTTCCCAAATCCTTGACAAGACAGCGCCGGTCGGGTGTCCAGCTGAAGGCCGTCCTCGTTCTCTCTGGCGTCCGTCGTCCCTCTCGCCCCTCCGCGCCGGGCCGGCTGCCTGCTAGCACACGCAGTAGTAGCCGGAGATGTCATTGTTCCAGTTGCCGAAGAGCCCCTGGCCGACCTCTTTCAGCTGGTAGTAGGTGCCGGAGGAGAACTTGCGCTTCTTGCCCTGCTTCTTGCCGCGTGACCAGACCGTGAGGGAGCAGAACTTGGACACGACCAGCGAGGAGGCCCGATTGTTCCAGGCGGGGGGGATGAGGGGGAAGTCGTCGCCGGGGTAGATGTCCAGGTAGCTGCCCCCGCAGCTCTGGTCGTAGTAGTAGTTGCTGTCCTCAAACATGCGGGCGCACAGCTTGGCGCCGCTGGAGTCCTTCAGGGTGGCAGGATCTGGGCACTGGGCCTGCAGCCCTGTCAGGCACAGAGCGCACAGCAGCACAGCTGAGACAGCCTTCATTGTCACAGCGATCAGTGAGGGCGACACACCACCTCTGTGCCTTTAAATATCCTCACGGCCCTAGGAGGACAGAGGGTGGTCCCATGCTGCCCCCGTGAGAAGCTGAGCTGCTGTCCTGTTCTTGTTCTCCCTCTTGATAAGAGCTGTTTGTGTTGCAACGTCCTTCAGAGGCCAGATTTATTTTTGTCTTACGGAAACAATCACCTGATGCCCGTTGTGTCGTAACAGGAACAACTGGCGGAGTTCAAATGATTCAATCTTACACTTTTTTCATTAATATGCCAAAACCTGGTGTAGATTTTGTGACATGTCACAGGGATGTCGGGCTTCAAATTCAGACACTCTTAAGAGGTTATTTTATTTTATATTAATGCAAAGTCTGGCAAATGGAAAACTTCTCAGGGTCAGATCTGTTACAGTAAATGTCAGCAAAACCAAAAGAGAAAAAAAATGATTTTATGTTGCTGGTATAAGTTTTCAATATTTAGTTGAAGCACCTTTGGCAGAAATTACAACCGCAAGCTTTTGAGCATGTTTGCACGGGGCCTGGTGCAGGTTTGGCAGATCTCTCAGGCTGTCTCAGATGGTCATTATGGGGATCGCTAACAGTATGGACAGCAGCGTTCACGTCTTTCCATACATTCTCCAGATCCAAGTCAGGACTTGAGTCACTGAAGTACATAACTTTCTTATTCTTAAATCCCAGTAAACTTTGGCCTTGTTCTTCTCATCATTTTCGAGATGAATGGTAATTGGTTTGTCCCAGTTTTAGGTCAGAAGCAGGTTTTTCTCTAAGATTGCCAGTATTTTGCTCCATCTGTGTTCCCATCAGTCATAGATGACATAATGCTCCACTACTGTGCCTGACAGTAGTGATGGTGCTAAAACATGTGCAAACTGTGTAAGGCAAAACTTGTTGTTGTGTCAAGTACTGTAGTGAAATAAGGGAGCAGTTTTCTTTTTTTCACATGGATAAAGATCAGCTTTAATGCAATGGTGAAGACTTTGTCACAGGAAAAGAGAATCTTTTAACTCGATTTTGTCAGCTACTACATGTGTGCCCACTGTGTTGATACTGTAGCTGCAGTTCCAGAAGAGACTCTGACCTTTATATGTAAACTCTGTGCCACAGTGCTGACATTCATGGTTTTATGAAGCTGAAAGATTTTCTGAAGAAGAACAGCCATATGTTTGTGGAACTATTATCTATTAATTTTTTTTGTAATTGGTGAAATTGATATTGATTTATGGCACTCAGAGTTTAAACGTTACACAAAGAGTTGGTGGAGAGGGGAACAAGATCCTCAGCCATGTTTTTTAGCGAGAACCTCAGATCAATTAGCTACAAGAAACCAATCAAGCTGAACATCTATGTTTGTTCATATAGGCAGATGCTCAATATGCGTAGGCTCCAAATTAACAGGTAAAGTTTTATTACCTGCTGAAAGGAGAAGAAAAGAGAGACAACGTTTCAGCTGTGTCACCCCCGAATCAGGCTCCACAGCCGAAATGTTGTGTCTTTTCTTTTTCTTTCAGCGAGGAATCTATTTTTGTTTGTTACCTTTCTTCTGTTCTTAAGTTCTAATTGAAATACTGAATAATCTAAGAAGGTTTCTAAGACTTGTTTCACAAAACAACAGAAATCTGAGTCTATGGTTCAAAACGGTTATAATCAGGGAGGATCACTGAGTTACTGGAATGTCCTGCTGAGAACTGTTTTTTTCTGCCCACTTCCCTTACCTGACGCGTCCACACTGTGAAGAAATATCTCCGTGTCCCACTGTAGTGAGCACGACCAGCACTGCTCTGGGATGAGCGTGTCTTTATTATCCCCGGGTAAAGTTGATCTCTGCCTCACTCACGGTTCACATGAAGAGGGACAGTTCTCACTCAGCACTGTCATGCAGACTGTAAAATGAACCCGGGGCCTCAGCACTGTCAGACAGCAATACTAGCCACTGCGCCACCCACTTCTATGACAGTCATTTTGATAGTTCTCCTTAGTGGCTTCACGAATGATGCATAAAAAACAAGTTTCAGGGCGCAGTTTGGACATATCGTCCATTTAAATGAACCTCACTGTTCGTAGAAACCCACGTCCCACTTTGCGGGCAGTTGCGACATACGGCCAGCAGGAGGAGCTCGAACAGCTTGAAAGGCGCCCTGAATATCCACACTGCCAGCACCGCTTTAAAGGGGACATGTTCTGTTTTGGTTTTCTGTAATAAAAATCTGGTAGTGGCAGTAAAAGATCAAAGAAGAGAAAACGCAGTGCTTTTTCTATTAACACTTCATCTGTCTTTTATTCAGACAAGTTTCTCTTCCTCTGTGCGGTGTGATCTGAGACATACAATGCTCAGCTTTTTTTTAAAGATAATACATTTAGCATTAGTAATGTGTATGAAACTCGACGTTTACTAGATCCCATTCCTTCTTTCTTATTTCAATCAAATTTCCAGCCCTCTGCTCTACCACCCTGATGTCATGAATGACTGCTTGAGCTCTGGAATGGCACGAACAGCCTTTAAAATAGCTGCAGTGACCCCCTGAGCCTGAAAAACCAAACATGGTTCTTGACACCCTAAACAATTTACATCCTATATCTAACTTGCCCTTTTTTTGCAAAGCTTGTATAATGTGCTGTTACATCTCATTGGAAATAAGCTCTTTGAACCCTTCCAGTCTGGTTTCAATCGATTACACAGCAAAGAAACTACCCTGGTTAAAGTTACCAGTGTTCTCTATCTATCCCAATTCTCCTGGACCTCAGTGCTGCTACTGATACTGTTAATCATGATGTGACTCTCCTGTCTTGATAGTGTGTGTGGTTTCTTACATCACTCTTAAGTGGCTCCACTCTGATCTTACTCATTGCCCTTGCTTTGTCTCTCTTGGGGGTTTTGTTCTGAAGCTGGGTCCACTAGATTCCAGGAGAATTTTCCTTACTGGGTCCGACATTTTATTGTTCCACAGGCGAGTTTGAATAATGAAAAACAATTACTAATACCACCAGATGTAAAATGCTCCAACTGGAATCTCAAAACAGTTAAATAAAAGATGGCAGAGGAACAATATGAGTCTTGCACCAATAAAAACTTTATTATTTACATACATTGGCCACTTGCTCAATTTACTAAAAAAAAAATCATTGACAGCAGAACATGACAGAATGGAAAAGACAGATGAGAGACAGTGTGTCCCCATAAGCATTCCCCTCACTCACCAGAATTACAGCCGTTTGTATTACAGTACCTCAACTTTCCATTTCAGAAATACATCCACTTACTTCCATATTCACACAGACTACACGTATACTGTATATATGCGCATTGGTATGTATATAATCTTACAAAACATATATACCTCTTTGATGGCTTTCACAAAATACACATAACACTTATTAAAGCCATAGATAATCTTTCTTTTAAGGTATCTTTTTTTTTTTAAGAACAGCTTTGCTGGACTGCCATCATGTTAAAATAAACATCTAGAAAGAAAGGTGTCCGATGAAAACAGACCGATGATGACTGAGGGAAGCTCTGTGCTGGAGCAGCGGAATCCGAGACTCCCGGCCGCTCGGCTCTGCTGCAGCCCCTGGCGGTCGAGTTCCTGTCAGGCCAGGAGAGCTCTGATGGGCAACACTGAAGAAATACATTTACAGGACAGAGCATGTTTGTGCAGACATTAAGAGAGGGTTACAGCCTCCCTGGAGTTCTTGAGCTGACACAGGGGGCTCGTTACACCCTTGTCCATGGGGGAGACTGGAGCATTGGGAAAAGCCGACAGCTCAACAGAAAAGCAGCAGGAATACAAAGACGCTCCAGGGAAATGAGACCCCAGGAAACGGGAGCTGCTGGGATCCGCCAACGAACTGGGCTGTGTCTGAGCCTCACACACACCTCAGACATGGTCGCTCAAATCAACTGAACGACCCGAAATTAAAATATTTAATGTCCAGTCTCGTCAGTAATGAGACCCAGGGAATCAGTTTGCACCCGGGGGGGGGGGACAGACTGGAAGCCCCTCGGCCCAGCAGTCCCAGCTGGGCCCAGCAGTCGAACACCAAGCTCCAGGCCTTCCCCCAGAGGGACAGATATGACTCCCACTGCACAGCGATTTGGTCCGTTTCTGGGTGTCAACGCCCGTCCTCCTCTCGGCTTCAGCCCACGCTGATGGCAGACAGACGGCGCTCTGGCCTTGTTCGTCCTGAGCTTGTATTTGGGTTTCCTCTACCCCCGGCCCTGCGGCACACCAGCAAGACACCACAGCCCCACCGCAGACAAGACAAAGCAGCTTCACAGGGAAAAAGCTCATTCTAAGGATAAGCAACTGTATGTACAGAATCCGATAAAAAAACATGATTAAATGTAACCGATGTGGATGTACACACATGGCAGTATCACTGGCCATAGAACAAAAAGATCTATATAAATACCAGAAACAGTTCGTAAGTTTAACATAATCCAGCAGAAATAATTTGTAAGGACCTTTGGCCTTGAAAAAGGCTTCGAATAATGTTGCATAAGAAACCGTTTTCTCCATTGTTGACATCTGAATCTGTTTTAACTGTAGATTGTTTATGACTTATTAACTACTGTACACAGCAAGAGGAAACACGTTACAGAAATCTTCACTCAAAATCCGCACTGATCTCTGCTTCACCAGGGCAGCCAATGGAAAGGGAGACTTTAAGCAGCCGTCCCTGGTGAGCCAGACCAGCACAGATCTCACAGTGCCGACACGCAGCAGCGCACTGGGCAGAATACAGCTGCTGCGCCTCCGTCCCACACAGAATTAGAATCTATCCTGCCACCAGTAGCACACCAGCAGCGTTCTGACAATACATGGTTAAACTTGATGTTTTCGAAAGAAAATGTGACTTTAGAATTATTGCCATGACGTCTCCCACAGTGGAGCTGACCTGTGCTAGCAGGTGGGCACGGAAAGCCCCGATTCCTGGACCAGGGGAGAAGCTGTCAGGATGCCAACAGCAGAGAGAACGGTGTCGGTGCCTTAAGGGTAACGCTACAGGTTCTTGTGGGCCCACCAGCTGAGCTGCAACATTTAGGAATCCAGACCTGTCCCACTATCCACAAGCTCACGCACTATCTGTCCCTCAGATTAGAAATATTCTACGAGAGCATGTTCACTCTGTACTTCACCCTGGAGAAGAGGATTAGTCACAAAACCGATAACATCCGAGTCGAGAGAGTTCAGCGACTCTCCCGAGTCCGAGAGCTCCCCAGTCTTGTTTTTCTCCACTGTCTCTGTCGCCTTTAAACAGAACTGCTGGACTTTCGGGCTGGCCCATTTGCTCTGCTGAACTACCGATACAACCAGCTCCTTAACTGTTCCTAATAATTATCAACAGAAAGATCAGAAGGCCTGTGGTAGCAAAACGGAGTGGATTGGAAGTTCCACAAGCTGAGTCATCCGGCATTTCAGTGTTCTCTTCATGTTAGCTGCTTCTGAGCACCGGAGTTGTCCTAACCTAGTAAAGCCTCTTAGAGGCAGATTCTCCTGCAGTGTAGTCTTGGCTCTTCTGGTGCGTTTGAAAACGCAAGGACTAGGAGCAGCATGTCTCCCACGTTGGGTTGTGGTAAAAGTACAAAAAGAGACAGAAATCCTTTTCACCCAAGTTCACCAACTTACAATACAATAAATCAAGTCATTCACCAGGAGAAAGATTTCAACAACAGAACAGCTCACTGGTTAACTGTCAGAAAACATCAATCCTTGATTACTGGCAGCATTCTTCCAGACCAATATGCTCTTCAGAGAAATGGGAACTGTTTGCAAAAAGAAAATTTAGAATGTGCTTTCTGTAATTTCCTAAAAAAATAAATAAAAATAAATAAAAAAAGATGCTGACATAAGATGGAGGATGACCGATATATCTAATACCCTTAAAAACCCACGGCCAGAGGGGAGGGGCGAGACTGAATCAACATCACTGACGGCTCTTGACATTTCTGGGTTCTTAAAAATATTGACACTTCGCAAAATATCATCAGCTGGCAGTTTGTTCTTCTTCTGTGAGCCAATGCCGCTGAGGTGAAGGTAGTGTTTTTGAAATGAGGCTAGCTCACATGACAGACTCCTTCTCGCAAGTTCTGGAGACATCACTGTCTGCCAGCACCTCCTCGGCCTTCTTGATGAGGGGCGTGCCCTCCTCCTTGAGGGGGAGGTCATCCCCCAGCTTGACCTCCGTTAGCTCTGCCCCCACACTCTTCTGGGCATTTCGGTCCACAGAGAACTGCAGAAGCCCCGCCCCAAAGGCATCGCCCTCCACGTTGATGACAGTGCAGGTCCGGTCACTGCAGGGGTGGTAAAAGAGACAAAATCCACTCTTACTCATTGGACAAGGGCTGAGAGATCTCACAGCTAGGTCATCTCAAACAAGCTACTGCATCTGGAGGAATCTGTGCCCCCTATGAAACCTGCAGCACGATGGCTCTCCAGAAGCCTGCCCTCCCCAAGACGCACTCCACTCTTACACTAGCCAATCCACTGCCAGGACGAGGGAGATGTCGTTTGTGGGCAGACCCACGGCCTCCAGGATGATGGCAAGAGTCAGGACGCCCCCTGCTGGAATCCCCGCTGCGCCGACACTGGACGCTGTGGCTGTGACCCTTCCGAGACAAACAGAGCAGTCAGCATCTTGTTTCATCCCTCGAGAAGGCCACCTGTCTCTTAGAGGCGCCGAGGAGCAGCAGCGCTGCCTCTGGAGAAGACGGCGCGCTCGCTTTCTGACTTACAGGATCGTGATGACCTGGATGAAGTTGAGCGGGTAGTCGTTGAGCTGGGCGATGAAGACGGCAGCCACGCACTGGAACAGGGCGGCCCCATCCATGTTGACCGTGGCCCCGATGGGCAGGATGAAGCGGCTGATGTGCTTCGACACGCCGTTCTTCTCCTCCACGCACTTCATCATCAGCGGCAGTGTGGCAGAGCTGTGGGCAGCGGACAGGCTGGGTGAGACAGGTCGCAGGAAGAGAGAGAAAGAGGCCAGAGCCGGGCAGAGAGGGGCTACCTGGAGGACGTGCCGAAAGCTGTGGCAAGCGCAGTGACAATGCCCCATAGGAAGGTGAAGGGGTTCTTCCGGGTGAAGACGAAGTAGATGAGGGGAAGCACCACCAGGCCATGGATGATATGGCCCACAATGCAGCAGCAGATGTACTTCCCCAGGCTGGTGAACAGAGTGGCCACATCCTCCATCTCCACGATCTTCGCTGCCACTAGGAACATGATACCAAACGGGGCGTACCTGCACACCACAGATCACAGCACCGGGTTAGAGACACACCTGACAGAGAGAGACCTGGGCGGAGGCAGAGAGACTCACACTCACCACATGATCCAGGACACCAGGATCATGGTGGCCTCATTGAAGGAGTTGAAGAACTTGATGAGGATCTCGCCCTCTTCACCAAGCTTGCGTAGCGCCACGCCAAACACAATGGCGAACACCACCAGGCCCAGGATGTTCATTCCATCTGCGTCAATGCCAAAGGGCACCTACACAAGACAAGACCAAGCCTTCAGTTGTACACTCCTGCTCAGAGAATCCCCATCACAGCTGGCTAATGGCAGCTTGGAATTGTGTTTGGGCCAATTGTCCCAGTAAAAGTCAAATGTTTAGATGAAGATGACTGTGAACCATTCCACCAGGATATCAACACATGGCCAATACTTTTCTGTTCCTAGTTATCTGGGATAAAGTTTTCAGAACTACCAAGCCCTTTTCAGGAAGCCATCACTCAAGACAGGATAATAAAAAACCCAAAGATCTGTATTTTTTTCAGAAATATCCTTTTTAGAATAAATCCCCAAGAAGAAAAGAAGTGACAGGCAGAGACACAATGACTGTCCTTACCTTCTCCACAACGATGGTAGAGCTCAGATACACCCCTTTTTCGTCTGTTATGTTCTTCGTCATGTTGACCAGCTTGTAGCTCGTAGTGTACTGGAAGAGAATACAGACACACGGATTACCAGCAAGAACTAGAGTTGGGCATAACCCTGCCAGAGAGCCGCAGTGTTCCGTGACCACTCCACCCCCCAGCACAGCCCATAGCTTTGTCTTCCCTTCCACACTACAGTGCTCGAGTTTCTGGACCTGTGCACTATGGCAGTAGAGACATTAGCTAGTGTAATATAACACACTTGCTGGACAAATTATTAGGAACCAGCACAGAACAACATGCTGGGCCTCTGGAAGCAGTAGGAACTATTAGACCAGGACAAGGCAGGTGTCTCACAAAGCTCTTAGAGAACATCTCAAGCCCACTGCCATCCCTTGTGCTTCCAGAATTGCCCTCAGTTCAGGTCGTAATGGGGAGCAGTAGTGTGTGGGACTACCTGCCCGTCCCACCAGCTCCACCTACATTCAGTGGCATGTTTCTGGGAATGCAGAAACGCTCTGTTTTTCACTCTGCAAACCAGTCACTTGCGACTGAGAGACTGTTCCTAATATTTTGGCTAGAGAGTGTAGAGTGACATTGCTGTGGAAACGCAAGGTTGTCTCACTGGCACAGTCCCCTTCACAGATCTTTCTGACTCAGGCAGGAGAATTCACACTTACTGACTGGAATGCTGCAGCCACCAAGTTGGAGGGAAAGATGTTCCTGTGAAGAAACAAGAACAAGTCATTACCCAGTGCTCTCTGCTCCCAGTGCTTCAGTCTTCTTTTGGTACCTAAAATAAGGAGCAGATCTGCAGCTCTGACAACAGACTCATGCTTAAACTCTCCAGGTGCTCCTGGGATCTTACCCCACAATCCCAAATGTTGATCTACCAGGCACCAGGTTGCATATTTAAATGCCTACCCAGCTCTGCACTGCCTTTAATACACCAATGTGTCCTTGTGTTTTTAAATGCATCATCCCACTACACGAGCACTTGCATAAGGCCCTACAGTGCTCAGGAGGCTGAGCAAGTCGATGGTGGTGTTTGAGCCTGCTCCTTTCCGCTCTGGGTCTGCTCTGTGTGTTGTTTACCTCAGGCTGTTTTAGCTCAGGATGCTGTCTGTGCCCCGGATTGTGCTGAAATTCATAACGAGACCAGCTCAAACCTGGCAAGCCCCTGCCTCCGGAGGGATTTACAGTAATATGGGATTAACACAAAAACACAGCAGAATCCATCCTGCCCCACCCCACCTCAGCCTGACCTAAATATTTATTGAGTTCTTTGCTCCTCACTGTCAGAGCTTGTTGTACTTTGCTCTACATGCACTGTTCTTCTGCCTTGTTGTGTAACATACCTCAACAGTCTTAACCTGAAAATTGTAAATCCACTGTTATTTTTTAATATACCATTAAAAATCACAAAATTATTAAATCTAGTCTCCTTTGGCAAAGTTGCTAACCAGAAGATGTTTTAAGTAATTAATAATTAAAGGGTTTATTACTCTGCCACAAGCGCACAAGGGTGACAGCGCTGTGCTCAGCCCTTGAGGTTTCCTTGGTAACCGAACCCTGCTGCAGGGGCCATGTGTTGCCTTTTGCCTTGGCAACCCGCTGCCCTAGGTGTGCACTCCAGGCACACGAGGAGACAGTAGACATGAGAAGCTGGTGTAATGTACTGCACTTAAATGGTTACTAAGTACTATAATCCTTGGAATGCAAGACCAAATTTAAAATTAAATTCTCCTGTCTTTTGGTGGAAGAACACTCCTCAGTGGGTGAGGAATGCATGTCCCTGTCTAACAGCACGTCTCTGGGTCGCTGCCCCAGCCTGGCTGTGACCAGGCACACTCGGAGGCACTGTGAGCGCCCCTTCCTGGAGGCTCGCTAAATATATCCCTGGAAAGAGTGGCTGATGCCTCTCGGAGGATGTGCTGTGTCATGTCTGCAAAATGCTAAACGCGTCCACATTTAGAAGCCTGAGGACATGCCAATGTCCAGGGCAAAGCTCTGAAAAAGGTTGCGAAACCCCTCAGTAGGAAAGGAGATCTGGATGTTTATGTATATTCTGCTTGTCCAGATAAAGTGAAGAAGCAATAAAGCAAACTGAAATCTTGGGTACATAGAAAACCATGTGGAATTCAAACCAAGGGACCTTCCACCTCATCTTTACAAAACACTAGTACGACCTCTCTCAGCGTCTCGTGTTGCCAAGTAGAATATTGTGAAGCACAAAGGATATTCTAGCCTTAGTAAAGATTCAAAGAAGAGCAACTAGAATAATGCCAGTTCCCAGGGAATTGTCACGTACAGGGTAAAGGAACCAAATCTCCTGTCCAGACCAAGGGAAATTTGATCCAAGTTAAGAATATCAAGCAGTAACTAAGACTGTCCGATTCAAACGCATTATAGCTGTGCTCCAGGGAAAAGACATGCCGGTATCATTACTACGTCTGTGCAGACACTTCCTTGTTGTTCATACCCAAGAAACATATTGCGCCCTAGAGCACAGCTTTGTGTAATTTATCATTTGTGCACGCAGCTGTGTGTGACTCGAGCAGCCTTCCTACAGAGAGACCGAGAGCACTTGGCGTCACTTCAGCCGTGAGCTGGTGCAAGGGAGCGAGAGTCGCGTGGAGCCGTCACAGTGGTCGAGACACACTCAGCTTCCTCTTCACACTGGGTAGCGACACTTTGACATTATTCTTAAACACACGCAGCAGTACGATTTGAAATCACTCAGATCTGCACCTGAAAACTCGACGAGGCATGAAAGCACAAGCAGGGGCTGTATGTAAGAGCTGGATTCTGTTTCTAAAGAGCAGCGATGAGACCTTCACCAGGCTTACTGTTCACACCAACAATCACTCTGTGAGGATGAGAAGGGTCTGCAGACCAACTGACAAACATCCTTTAATTGCCCGTTGTCTTTCTCCTGCAACCACAAATTATTTCATTTTCAGTTACTGTCATTGTTTTCTTTCCTGGGAAAATAGCAAGTTCCCACAACTTCCCCCAACTTCCCCAGGATAATTTCTCCAGGACTCTTTGACTATATTTTAATCTGTTTTCCACGACAGAACAGCAGCCCTGGCAGATACCCCAAACCTCAGTTCTACTTCACCTCCTGGTTTCAGTCCTCAGTTTCCAGCTGAACATTAACAGCAGAGTAAGTTTGTGGTCACCTGCAGCAGACCTCAGACAAACAGCCTCACTGGCCAAGAAGTGCTGGTCTGCTGCAGCCACAAACAAGGGGCACAGAGCACGATCATATAACTATAACAGTACAGGTTTCATGTCCAAGAGGAAGTGCACCTGTTTCTCAGCATGTGACTTGTTGTCTAAACCTCAACATATTACCCAGGAATCCCTTTCCTTCTAGTAGGTTATCGACTTCTGTTCTGCTGCTCTGAGCAACACCTTTCAACTCAAGAAAATGCTGAAGGAGACATTAGTTGTGGTCTGTTTTCTTATTGGCAGAATGCCTAAATCTGCTTTTCTATGGGTCAAATGAAGTCACAGTCCTGCTACCCTTTATCAGGCTAAACAAACGCACCTAGCGCTCAGCTGAGCACATCTTTCCAATCTTCATTGTGGTCAGCAGAATACGTGATGGTGGATAAGCTGTTTGTGGGGCTGGGGTCCAAGATGGCTGTTGTGTACAGTATTTACCCCAGCGCACCATTCAACTGAGCCATGATTCACCTCTGTGAGGGCCTCCTGGCTAGGAACTTAAACCTCCGGAGGCTTTTCTCCTGATGACTGCTTTTTACTGAGCTGTGAGTGAATGTATACTTTAGGTAAATTTCTGAACTGAGAAGACAGGGAAAGTGGACATTTTCTGCAAAAGTGATTTGAATACCAAACTAACATGCTTCTGATTCTAGAAGGACTTGATGTTGACACACACTGCCACTGCCGAGGTACAAATAGGCAGTGGGTTGATAAAATTTAGTAAGAGAGGTTTCTGTATTCTCCTTGTCAGGGAATATGAAGCTGATATCCGACACTCTGAAACCATCTAGGAAACAAGCTCTGCCAGTTTCAGTGTTTCTTAGACAATATCAAGTCCAAACTGATTCCTGTATAATTTACAGGGTATTCTAGTTCAGGGCTCAGGAAGTTTTTTTATGGACCCAAATTTAAGAAAATCCCACAGGATACAGACAAGGCAATGAGACCTGTTCCAACACGCTGCGATTCTGTAAGGAAGAGACGACTCCAGAGCAGCTAAAACAACCTTGTATACCCCCCCACACAGAGCGAGCAGAACCCGGGCAGCACCACTCACACCTGCGACACTGCTCTCACTCTCGAGACCAGCCATGTTATTGTGGCGCCCATGTCCACATAAGATAAGGCCACTTTATTGGCCCTATACAATTTCGTGCATTAGGAATTTGTCTTTTTTGCATACCCCAGCTTGCTCTCCATGAGACACACAGACAGGGAGAGAGAAGCTTGGGGTCAGAGCGCAGGGTCAGCCATTTATACAGCACCCCTTGAGCAGTTGTGGTTAAGGGCCTTGCTCAGGGGCCCAACGGAGTAGTAACTTCCACATTACACATAATCACACCCCCCCCTTTTCAATCCTCCCTTTCATATTATGAAGCAAAAGTAATACTTGCACTATTTTACAAAATGGTGTTGGAGGACCCTGATGTCACCACAGATACAAATGAACCGCCAGGAGAGGATGTGTTAGGTGAGCACAGTGTTTTCTTTAGTGTCAGGGGTGTTTTTTTCAGTTTTCAGTCTCTTGTTTGCCTGAAGGGAGAACATACAGGATCTGAGGGCTGAGGAGTTTCCCCAATGTTTACAGTGCTTGATTGCCTTAGGTTATCAAATCCCATAAAGTTAAAAGCTTGAGGACTGTTTAGCGATAAGAAAATGCAACTGCTGGCAGCTTAGTATTTGTTCCTTTCAACTGCTCAACATGACTTTTTACCTTTAAAGAAACTTTAAATTCCAGAGTTGGCAGGAAGAGCAGATTCCTCAGACGGAATATTCTGAAGAGCTCAACAGGGGCAATGTCACCAGGTTGACAGCTTGAGGCTGTGTGTATATCTTATTCACATTTTTACAGTAAAGATGCAGATTGTTTTTTGCAAAAGGCACCTGTCTCATAAACATTTCATAACCCAACACAAAAGGTGACAGGAATAATACTAATAATAATACTAATAATACTCGTGGGTGCAATCAGCACATTGGCCATTTGGATGAAGGTGGCCAGAGTACATGTGATGCACTGATTCAGAACAACAAAAGCACACAAGAGCAGTTAGAACAAGAAGGAGCCATTCGGCCCATCGAGCCCAACTGGTAGCCTGTAGCTTATTTATCCCAGGGTCTCATCCAGCTGCTTCTTGAAGGAAGCTAAAGCACCCACTTCCACAACATGGCTGGGCAGCCTGTTCCACACTCCCACCACCCTTTGTGTAAGGAAGTGCCTCCTGTTCTCTGTTTTAAACGTACTTCCTCCGTTTGGATTTCACTGTTCAGTTTGACTCTTTTTTTGATACATTTGTATCAGGTCTCCCCAGAATCTTCCCTGTTCAAGAGTATAAGAAGGACCAGTAAGTGCACGACATTCCGTTCAGCCCCAGACGTCAGCTGGCAGACACTCAGGAAAGACTGAGGCACTCATTCGGTGTAGGATAATAACAATGTGGTCTTCCATTGCAAGGCAAAGGGTGCCTGTTTACAGCGGCCGTATAACACCTGGAACTGTCTGTAGTTCCAGATGCTGGAGGTGTGAAGGGTGCTGGGAGCCAGATAAACTACAGAGCTCCAGCTGTGTGCAGCAGTCAGTCACGACTACCGGTGGGAGGAGAAAGGCAGAGTAATAATTATAATAATTAATAATAATTGCTTACACTTATATAGCGCTTTTTCTGGACACTCCACTCAAAGCGCTTTACAGGTAATGGGGTCTCCCCTCCACCACCACCAATACTTTCACAGCTGGATTGTCCAGCCCCTGTGTTCTGTCAGTCTCACACCGACCGTGTTCCACTCGGACCTGCAGAGCGCTTGTCCAGTGGCTAAAGGACGCAGAGTCCTGCTGGGCGCCGCCGGACGGTGGAACAGGGCTTCAGGTAAAGCAGCCGCTGGCTCCTCTGGCCCCGCCCTCCACACGATCATCAGCAGCTTTTTGCTTTTTTTGATAGAAGGCAGTAACCCCACCCCCCAAAAAGGGCAAAATAGCTTCATTACCAGAACAACAGATTCCTATATCACGGTCCGTCTACATCAGGCCCCTTGCTTGGGTTAGCGTCTGCTCCACTGGGTGTTGTCGCACACTAGTTCAATGACAACCGAATTTATATTTCATGTCTTGTCTTTCACCAAGAAATGTTCAGGCACATCTTGTAGTAACCCCCCACACACCCACATCAGTACACAAACAGATGATCTGTGCCCTCAAGAACTCTTCCCTGGATGAAGGTCTGCTGTACTACCACCAGAAAACAAGCAGGAATATTACCATTCTCCCCAGCAAATACTTTCACAGCATCTGTTTTACATGTAATCAAAATGAATAAATCCATTAGTGATATTATATACTGCAGTTGTCGTTTTCTGTATAAACCGCTGTAAATTATTCTAGTTATTCAGATTATCAGATAAAATTTACCCGAGATAACTTGGCTGTTCATTTTTGGCGTCGTTAATTGTTACGCTCCAACTCCAAACTGAATTACATAGCTCTCGCAGATCTCACTCCCAGTACACAGGCAGACTTCGTGCCAAAAAGAACAGAATGTGCCGCTTTTTGTCTCCCGTTTTAATAAACATGTTTCGTCTGCGTCGGCCGAAGCGCTCCGGATTTTTGGCAATTTCACTTCCTGGTTTGTGGTTGGCATGACACTGGCTCGCGAGCCGGTGTTAACGCTCCACGTGTTCAACGCCGAGAGCGGCACAGGCTTCTAGCTGTAATCGCGATGCGTGATTTTATCTGCTTATTCGTTCACAGAGAAACGGAAAGGTCTCGCAGAAGGTTTCAGAAATGCGTATTGTTCAAAGTCTTCCCCCCCAAATACTCTTATTTACTATTTTTGAGAAATTAGGTAGAAATATGATGCTAGATAAAATCATACAAAGGGTACCTCCTGATCCACAGATGTTTTCGTTTAAACAATAGTTTTTTTTCTTACTGCTTTCTTACTATAGGACACCGTCTATACTTCATACGTCAATGAAGAGATATGACATCATTATCATTTATAATACTGTACAGAACGTGCTATTATACGTCCTTTGGCTTGTTTAAAAGATTAATGCAGCGGACAATGCAGTACAAAACAAGGTGATAAGAGATTAATTACGTTTTCATGTCAGTCTGCTTGAAGGAACAGGCACGAACAGTGTCTTCCTTTACATTAACGTCCCTGTGTGTACAAGAGGCGCCCGGTACGTGCAGCACACCCGGACACGGGCCGGACAGAATGACACCGGACTCGCGGGTGAAGCAGCGCGAGCGAAGGCTATCCCAGCACGCGCGCTCAGACTTGGCTGACGCAACGCAACACAAACTTTGCCTGACGCGCGCAGGGGTACAAAGGCAAACGCGGACACGTTGTTGAAAACGAGCGAAGACACAGCGTGTCGCCCTGCCAGGAGACGCTCGGAGCGGACCGAGCCGGCTGGCGCTGCCGGCGGGACCCGTACCTGATCAGGTCCAGGAAGGAGTCCACCACCTCCTTGGACTCGGGCACCCCTTCGTCCAGTCCGGCCACCCTGGGCTTGGCTCCCGTGACGCTGCCCGGCTGGATGATGAAGGCCATGGCCACCCCGATGGCTGACGCGATCAAGGTGGTGGCCAGGAAGAAGAGCATCGCCCAGCCGCCCAGCTTGCCCAGGGCCTTGGGGTCCAGGCTGGCGGCGCCGGACACCAGGCTGCACACGACCAGGGGGATGATGATCATTTTGAGCAGGCGGATCAGCAGCTCGCCGGGGAACCCGAAATAGATGATCTGGGTCCGGCTCAGTTCCGCGTTCCTCACCCCGAGGCCAATCAAGACGCCGACGATGACCCCGGCTACGGTCAGGATCACCATCAGGTTGGCCAGGACGGCGCGCCTGACCCTGTCCATCGCGGTGTCCGTGCGGGCCGGCTCCCTGTGCCCCTCCGCGCCGTTGGCCACCCCCTCCTCCTGGTACACCTCCCCGTTGGAGGTGCGTTTCGCGTCTACGTCCAGCGCCGTTTTTTCAGCCATCTGCTAACTTTTAACCAGCAAGCCAAGGGATACAAATTCTAGAAAAGTTCAGAAAATAAAAACCGATCTACACAGAAGACAGGTCCGGGAACTGGAGCTCGTGAGACACACCGGGCTCCAACTGCACGCGCTGACAGAGTGAGAGCTCTGCCGCGCGGCGGAGACACAGACATACCTTCCACTCTTGCATCATGCATGACGTCACGACGCTGTGGAACAGCCCACTCGCAATGGAAAGGGGCGGATCTCATGCACAGGGACTCGCGTGCTGCATGGCAGTTTGGGAGCGACACGAAGACACGAGAAATAATGACGCTGACGTAGAGCAACTCTTTGAAATTGAAAATATGCAGATTTGTCCAATACAAATGTTAAGTATGTAACCGATTGTGGATATCATTTACAGTCTGTATGTATAATATTTATTTATAGGCAGGCTACCTCATTTTCAGAATTCGATTTCAGAATTTTCATAATGTATAAATATATAATTGCAACGTATTAATATATTTTAATATAATATATTATATTTTGAATATTGAATATTGAGGATAATATTTGGTGCTAATACGTCCCTAACATACAGATTCGCCTCTGCTAGTTTCGTGGAGACCCAGGGCGCGCAGAGAGCATGAATTCGGCGTCTCAGTGCGACGCGGCTCCGGGTTTGCTTTAACTTCAGCGAGTCGGAAGTGTGAATTCAGCAGCAGCTCTTGCTCTCTGTCCAGCCAGCCGGTAGCGGCTGAGTACCCCCTGTGAATAAGGGCTACACTGCCCTTGTCCCCGGCATCGCCTGTCAACGTTGACACGATTAGTAGTCTCCTAGCCTCCTAGGAATGCTTCGCCGAAACGTCAGGGAAACTGGGAAAATGTGGTTTTTAAATTTGTTTTATTATCCGACGATTATTCATGCTGCTGAAACGCGGAACTGTTAGACCAAGCCGCCCGACTCGAGGGCAGAATTCCACAGCAGCGATTTCGGGAAATGACGTAGCCCCGCCCTCACCCACCGGCAAGTTCTGCCCTGAAGAGGGTGTAAAAATAGGAATTTAAGATGAACTGGGGAAGGAGATTGCTATTATTCCCAATTTGTTACAGATGGGACTCTTGATGAAATTATTGTGCCTGTTATTCGTGTGGACCGAATTACTAACCTCAGAGGTCTCCTGAACAGAGGTGTGCATTATGAATAATAACAATCTACATTGTATTGTGCTTCTGCGTTTAAAAGGTGCTCAGTACTGTTACGTCAACAAAGCAATAAACAATCCCAAAATAGGCTGACCTCCTACGCCAGTTTCTCAGCGTGTACCGAAGAGCCCTTCGGGTGACGGAGATCGTGGCTCTGAGCGATGTTGACATCCTCGCTCCCGATCTCTCTGCCCCGGGCCGCTGGGCGCGGATTCATTCTTGGCAGCATATGAATAATTCAAAGGAACAGGAAGACAGAAATAAATGTTACAGAATGACCTTCTTTTAAGATCAGATACGGAGAAGAAAAATTGTTGACAAACGGGATCTTATTAAGTAGGCTTTAGAATATTTCAGGACAGTCATATGATTCGCTGTACATACAGTAATTAAGCACTTGATGCTGTAAAGCAGCTTGATGCTGTAAGCCAAGCCTCTTGGTGCCTCAGAATGTTTTCAGGGCCTCTTTCTGTAAAAATGGGTCTATGGTTTAATGTGCTTATTGTTATTGGAATGTAAGCTTAGTTTTCTCAAACTGGTGAGACTGCATCCTGGTTTTTAATCTTAATCACAAGGACTGAGCAGAAAAAAAATATTATTGTTAACAGCCTCCAGTCACCGTGTATATTGAGAATTACATTAGATTGCACTGAATTCATATGAAATGCTGTCTGTTTTAATTTTTTTCACGTACAAGTGATGGCTCAGCTGTGTGGGAAGGGGCTCAGCTCAGATTGCCTCTGCCTGACCTCTAAGTTTGCATGAAGTACAGATCAAAGCATACAGTACCTTTAGGCTAGGAATTCTGCTTTACCCTACAGTTCCAGGACTTTTAACAGTTTCAGTCATGGTTTGAATTTCCTTCATTGTTTCAGGGTTTATGAAAATACAGCATTACAAGCCAGTTTTTCACATGCAAAAGGCTTCTAGCCGTATGGAGTTTTGCAAGCAATCACATGATAATATGAAGATAATATCCCATTTTCTGCTATAGTGACACAGGGGTTCTTGTCTTTAGGAAACAGCAGGCCTGTGAGGAGCCAGGGTCTTGTGAGAAGGCAAACAAAAGCCACAGCAGCCAAGCTGACATTCCAGGGTGTGGGTGGGAGGGGACCTTGTGCTCGGCTGTGTTATCGGGTTGCCAGCTCTGCTTGGTGTTTGTTTGCAGCACACAGAGCTCCTGTCTGTGACTGGGCCATCATGGGTTCTGTGGGCCCTGGAGTTCTCTCTTTCCCAAGACTGTAAACTGATTTCAGGGCCTTTCCTCTTTGTCCCTTTGTCCGTTGGGAACCTGCAGGCCTGCTCCAGCTGTTAACCATTTAACAGTAACTCGTGGTCTGTGAGCCGGGTGGGAGTTTAGGCCCTCAAGTGCTTGTGAATGTTCAGAGCCAAGCTGAAATCCGGACTGTCTGCTTGGGAAGCTGACTGCACCATTGCAGTCACATGTGTGAATGATACAGACAAACAAATATATTTGTTGTCTCCACTCCAAAAGCACAGTGTCTGATCAGGGTGTGCAATGAGAGTGTCTGATCAGAGTGAGCAATGAGAGTGTCTGATCAGAGTGAGCAATGAGAGTGTCTGATCAGAGTGAGCAATGAGAGTGTCTGATCAGAGTGTGCAATGAGAGTGTCTGATCAGAGTGAGCAATGAGAGTGTCTGATCAGAGTGTGCAATGAGAGTGTCTGATCAGAGTGAGAAATGAGAGTGTCTGATCTGGGTGTGCAATGAGAGTGTCTGATCAGAGTGTGCAATGAGAGTGTCTGATCAGGGTGTGCAATGAGAGTGTCAGTCAGGTGAAACTTTATCTCCTGTCTGCCTTCTGCATCACAGTCCCTTTTAGATCCCTCCTGGCCCTTCAAGACAGACCTGGAGTAGCAGTTGAATCCTTTTTTGTATTTATCAGTAGAAGTTATATGTTTTTGAAACAGGTTTGTCTGGTTTTTATGTACACACAGTATACAGTATGTGCCATAGTTGTTTTCCTCACTGAATCTTCAGGAACTCCCTGTCCAGGTAGAATTGTTCACTGTTTCCTTTGCTGGGCTCCCTGATCCTCGTGATGCCTAAGGCTTCAGCCTCTCCTGGACTCTGATCTCCACTGCTGGGTTGTGAAGAGAGAGGCAGGAGGGTCCACTAAATCACAGGGCTACACATTGCCCTGAGTGACTACAGCTGCTCAGGCACTATGCCTGGAATTTGTCTCACTGTTGCTCACATCCTGAACACGTTCAGCTCCTGAGGTGTGGGTCTGCAGGTGTCGGTCTGGTCTGTGCTCCCTCATGATGTCAGGTTCTGGGACACAGTGTCCTGCTTCTGGCTTCAGTGGCTCGATCAACATGTCAGAAGAGCCCTGTCAGGGCAGAGAAAGACATGATTGGCCTTCTAGGCCTAAACTTGCATAGACCTCTGTTGTACATATATCCCATTCGCTCCTACACAGCCTTGTGTTCCAGGTGGCTTTGGGGCCGAGCTACAGTCAGGTGCACTGATGCTGAGAGACACCAGCAGGAGTGAGCTCTGATCTGCTCAGCATTGCCTTCCGTGACCAGAGCCATTTGGAAACAGGGATTCGACACAGTGTTTCACTTCATGACAACAGAGTTTACTTGCAGGAGTCTCTTGGTAGTGGAATGCTTGATTGTAGTTGTCTAGAGGATTGCATTTTCCAGACCCCCCAAAAATGGCACCCTAAAGCACAATATATGGCAAAAGCATAATTTCTGTTTCCACAGGGGTGCTATTTGATGTTTTAAAGTCTGAAAGTAAGCTAACAGGCAAGGCCTGGCTTGACAAGGATGCAGAAATGACCTGAGTTCTGCTATTGTGTGTGCCCTCATTATGTGAAGCTGGCTAGGTAAGGTGATAGGAACATTGCTGATTGCAGCACGGAGCCAGAGCCCTGTACAGACAAGAGGAAACCTGATCAGACACAATGCTGCCCGAGTGGAGTGTCGTGGGAAAGGCAGAGGACTTGGGAGACGGGCCAGAAAGGCACAGAGAGGAGATAAGAGGATAGTGCCAACTGTGTAACCGGACCTGCTGTTTCTGCCTCCTGATTGGCACCTGATTACACCACATGATTACAGTCCAGAGTACAGCACAGAAACTGTCAGAGGCAGTTCCTTCTGCCTAATTGCCCCCCAAAGAAAACCAGTTGGGTGGGAGTCTGGGTCCATGTTCCTTGTGTTCCCCATCTTAAATTGTGGAGACTAATCGATCCTTTTATCTCAAGCTATTTGCTTGATTAGACTAATAGGAAACTTTATTCAGTAGAATTAGCAAATAACTAGTAATAGGTTTATTCCATGCTGAAAAAAAGAAGAAAGAGAACACAACGTTTCGGCCGTGGAGCCTTCTTCAGGTGTGAGAGAGACAGGGCAGTAGGCAAAGGTAAAGTTGCGGGAGAACAAAGGTTGGGAGGGAGGAGGAGTGAGAGGCGGGAGCAGGGGACAGAAAGAGAGGCCAATCAAGAGGTGTGAAGTCAGAATGGGTGCAGAGAGGTGTGAAATGAAATTTCCAATGAATGGAGAAAATTTAAAAGAACAGTAATCTGTCGTTAAGGGAAGGGAGTATGTGTGATCCTAACTGCAGAATAATTTTAGTTTCGGTGGTCTTTCTGATGTATGAGTTCGGAAAACCGTCTTTGAGAACACAGACGGAGAGATTAGAGTGGTCGTGGCCGTCAGAGGTGAAATGAGAAACAATGGGCTTGGAGAGATCTTTAATCTTCACAGCCCTGACGTGTTCTCTGAAGCGGTCTCCGAGTCTCCTTCCTGTTTCTCTAATGTAGATGGCTGGGTATTTACTAGCCCAGCAATAACTGACAAGTTATTAGCAAATAACTGACAAGCTGTAAAGGGGAGAGGATTCCTGATTCTTCACACTGGCCACAGAGGAATACCCACGGAGTATGTGGGGGGCATCTCTCCTCTGGGCTGGCCCACCTGCCTTGCAGGGCTGGCTTGTTCTCATAATAGTGCAGAAAACACACATCACACTGCCTTCCGATACAGGGACGCTGAGCCAACACAAGAACAGAAGACAGACGAGAAGGATTCATTCAGCCTATCTGCTCCATGTCCCACTTAGTAGCTTATTGACCTGATGACCTCATCCAGATGTGTCATGAAGGAAGTCAGGGTATAGACTTTAACAACATGGCTGGATAGCTTGTGATAGAATGGATAGAATTGCCTCCTCTTCTCGGTTTTTAGTACACTTCCACAAAATGTCATTTTGTGCCCTCTGTTCTGCGCTTCACAGTTCATTCTGGGCTGACTTTGTCAATGTGTGTGGGTTGTGAACACTTGTATCAGGTCCCCTCACAGTCCTGAGCTGAATCTTTTAGACTGTTAGTGTTCCAGATCATGTCTTACTAGTGTCTTGCACAATTCTAGCATTGTTTCCCTTTGTTGTGTTAACTTCATAGCCTGACATTCTGTCTGCCTTTGTATTACTCTCCCTGCAGCTCTGTTTCCAAACTGATTACCAGTCTTGATCACATGGACAAAGCTCAGAAAGGCTTCAAAGGTTTAAACATTTCTTCTTCCCCTTGCTTGCCAGAGACGAGAGTCATTGTTCATGGAAATTAGCTGAGTCATGAACACATGGCACACCCCACATGGAAATGAATCCTGGAGAAACCTAGTCTGAAAGCAAAATTTGACTACATTTTGCAGTGTTTAAAAATGTCTGGATACATATATTGAAATCTATATGAAAAGTGAATGAAAACTATTTCAGTTGCATTAAAGAATTAATTAAATATCAGTAGATTTAGGCAATATATACCTGAAATGTCATTGAAAATGAATATCTCTGTCAGACGTATTTCCTCATTTGTGACCTCTGGCAATCTGAGGTTCATTCTCAGCATTTAGCTGCTAATCTGGCCGGCAAGGCTTGCATGTGCCTTTTAAAAGAAGTACAGCCAATCCTTTAATCTTCATTTCTTCGCAGATAAGGCAGGTTCTGTGGCAGAATCAGTCAGCTAGAGGCAGGCGTGTGACCTTGAAGAATCCCGGCCTGCAACCTTCTGATCTGTCCTCCCAGCCAGGACCTCTTGTTCTCTGTTCTTAGTCTTGTTCTCTGCGGCATGACTTTGCAAATTTGTTCTCCATGAAGAAGCTAAAAGCATGTGCTGAGTCATACTCAGCTACACAGTGTGACAGTGCTTGTTCACCATGACTTTTTTTACTGAATAAGGCGTGCAGGTTCAGAATGGGCTGAGCTTTCTAAAAAATGTGTGGAACAGGTGGAGTGACATTATCTGCTGCGTGATTGAAGTTAAAGGTGGATCCCAATTAGCTGTGCTTCACACATATGACGCAAATGTGTCACTGGCAGTCTAGTCACTGGGAAGGAGATGGTAGTGGCGCGGCTGGCTCAGTGATGATGAGTGAGAGGCCAGGCGCAAGAGACTCGACTGACAGGGATGTGGGAGCTCTGAGACACAGGGAGAGTGAAAAGTGAAAGAAGCTGCTAATACAATAATGAAGTACTGGCCAGAAGGGCTGAAGCAGCTCAGGCAGGTCAGTGATGGAAAAGAGAATGAAATGGGGAGGTGCGTCGGCGGGAGGAGAAGCCGGCTAACCGCATCCCTAGGGAAAGGAGGCTGCTAGACGTAGCCCCTCAGTCGGGAAAAGGGAGCTTCAGCTACAGCAGGAAACCGAATGGCGAGCCCCATGAAAAGAGAACTGCTCGGGTTTTCAAGGGCAGCCATCAGGAGCGCCAGGGGTGCAGGTCAGCAAGCTGGGGGGGCAACGGCTAAACAAAGGAGCAACAGTGTGAAAAGAATAAGTGTGGAGTGGGGCGCAGTTTGAGGCTGGGGCCGATGTGGAGTGGGGCGCAGCTTGAGGCAAACTAACCTGAGGTTTGTCATCGAAATGGCTAAGATTTGAAAAGTGGAGACTCTGGAGGCTGTCTCTACGTGCAATATGTTCAGTACTTACTGTAAAGTCGAAGCTACAGCAACACTGGACAGATTTTGTTTTTTGAAAGTCATGAACAAACCCAAAGATGCTTGAAATCAGTGATTAAGTAAATTCATATTAACATTTGAGATAATATATCAGTGATGCTCATGAAAATCAGGTTTGATAAACCATATATATTTAATATATACCAAACCTATCAATGAGATGGGCTGCTGTGATTCTGAACCTTTTTCACTATATATAGAGAAATTACTATATTTAGCAATTGCAATTCACATGTGGCGTTCATGAGCAAAGCTTAGTATAGATCCAACGTATGGTCTCATCTGCTGTATTTTGCTTGCTATCCTATATCCAGAAAAGGCACTTAAACTCCCAGTGGAGCTCAGTGCGGACTAAAGCAGAAGGGCAGCAGCTGACTCTTACTGGGGAGCTGAGCGTGCCCCGAGTCTGTGGCACGAGGAGGGGTGAGGGCAGTGCCTGACGGGCAACTGTGTGTGAGAAGTGCTGGCAGCTGTGCTGAGGGGCTGTAGGAGAGAGAGCCCTTGGTCAGGTATCCCCAGAGAGACTGCATCTGTGACAGTCAGAGACAGTGCCCTCATGGTGCAGGCATTCATTTCCCATGAATAATTCAGTCTGCTGCAAATCACTCTATTACTCCATGAATCCAGATCGACGTGCCTCATGTTTTGTGCGCAAGCAGATTTTCAGGACGTATGCAGTGATGTATTTGCACACAAGAGGATCGATGTAATCTGTGATGTCATTTCTGGGATTGATTTCTTTTCTGCGTTATGTCCTTTTGCTTAGGCTGGGGGGTGCCAGACAAGTGGCCTTTTTCCAGCGAGATTGTCACAGGAGAGCAGTGAGAGTCACACATCTGCTGCTTTCTGCAGTCATAGTGAAAAAACTGTTCACTACTCTTCTGTGTATCATCTCAGTGAAGCCCACAGGAATTTAATTATACATGCCACTCTTTTCTAAAATAAGTTTTATTATGAAAAATAATAATCAAACAATCAAGGGCCTATACAGACAGATGTTCGTGTGTATTACTCCTCACTCAAATAACCTGGGAGGAAGACTTCTGCCACAATGGTAGGAGTGAGATGTCATCACACCATTAGAGCCCCCAGAGCCAGACAGAGTTTCAGTGTGGGCGTAGCAGGGGGTGTGTTACCTGATAGCCAATCGCTGGCCTCTGTCTGTGTCACAGTACTGTGGCACTGTGTTTATGGAGGCGTGCAACACAAGAATTATACAGACTATTTTCAGATCTTATGTTACTTATTTCCTGGCTATACCCTTCACCTCACATTTCTAATTGCATAATGACATAATGCTCAGATATTTTCTTATTTAAGTTTGTTCTTGGCTGGTGAGGAGAGAAATTATGGGGTCTGAAGTAAGCAAGCTTAACAACAGATAGGTCAACAGAGGAAGGACTGAATTGTATCTTATTTTACTGGAATGAATGTGAAACTACAGACCCCTGCAAACTCTCCAGTGAATCTGTCCACCTCAGCCTCAGCTGCAACAGCTCAGAATCACAGGGGACTTGACAGCCCGCAGGGTGAAGCTGGGGTTTTCAAAGATCACTTATTCCAGTCAGACAGTGGCTGTCAGCGAGTCAAGGACTTGTATGTCAAAGGGCAAGGGAGAGGAATCAATCACATGGCTGTGCACTGGAATTGCAGTGTGTCCACTGAAAGGACACGCATCTACATGTGATCCACATCTCTTTGAGGAACCTGCCTGAGCGTGAGCGAGGGGGCAGAGACAGAGCACACAGCCAACTTCAGACAGCCCACTCTGTCCCATCTTGAGTGAATGTGGGTTCAAGGGCACCAGAGTGATGGACTATAGCTCTTTGTGGTTGTAGATGAGTGGCTCTGAATCTCCACATCTAGCACAGTGCAGTTGAGCTGTACAATTGTACAAGCACAACTGCAAAGGCAAAAAAACAGCTAATTTACACACAACGTTAAGTATCCCATCACAATAAAGTGTAGGAGCTGATCAAAAGACTTATTGACAATCAAGTCTGTTCTATTCCATGTTTTACTTGCTACAGACTGCAATGTGTCTTGAACTTGAACTTAAACTTTATATTGTTTTAATTTAATATGTCTGCCCATGCACATTAAATTTGTATGGACATGTTGTGCTTCTGTTTATCTAAATACATCACAAAATATCACACACCACATCTATTACACATGCAGAACTTGTTACATCATAGTCATGAGATGTTACACAGATGCACTTTATTACAGCATTATTGGTTTATACTGACATCTTTACATTTTCCCTGCCATCTATCTGTGTTAACTGCTTTAATAGATAAGGGTGAAGAAAGATACAAGATGCGAAGAAGGGGGTTAACTGATTCCTTTCTGCATGAGGACTGGACTTCTAAGTAACAAGCTAGATTTATGGCAGGAAAGGGGGATGACTGATAAGGATTCCAGATGCCAGCTAGGAAACCCACAGGGAGGGTAATCTAAAACACTGACCATTTGGCCAAAGTCTGTGAACTGTCTGAACACCGTGACCTCCCCCCTTCACCATAATAATGAGCTACGTCAGAAGCGGCAGGAAAGTGCTATATAAACTGGAAGTTTTGTACCAACACTTTGAACAATACTTCCGTTTTATTGTTCCTTGCGGGAACAAGGCTTCGGCTTTATTGTTCCTTGCATGCAATAAAACTCATCTGTTTAACTTCATCTCGGGATCCAGAACTTATTTTTCTGTTACAACAGGGAACAAATGAATATTTCTATTTGGTCTAGATTTGGGAACCCTAAAACGTTTGCCAGAGGGAAGAAGTTGATGTTCAGAATTAAGAATATGAAAAAGATCTGATATAATTGTTTCCTCCTAATCACGCATTGTTCAAAAACATCTGAAGAAGGCTCCACAGCTAAAACATTGTGCTTTCTTTCTTCTCTTTTCAGCATGGAATAAACCTATTACTTGTTACTTTGCAGCTTATGCATGCTGACGCTTCTACCTACCTGAATTGTTCAAAAACTGTCTGCAAGGGGGAGTGCTGCTTCACTCCCATAACCTTCACTGCTGTCAGGACAAGATGATGATTTCTGATCTTAACTCTGGAGCAAACACTCTCCGCCTGAGTCACCCAGCCTGCTGTCTATGTATATTCCTGAACACTTATATGAATTAATCTGGGTAATACCTTCCTTGTGAATCACTTCATATGAATGGTTATATTCAGGCATGCTAATAAGTATTGAAAGAAGAAGCAGTTTCAAGTATTTCAGGTTCTACAAGCTGCAAGATCTTGTACAAACTCCACTTAGCTAAAGCCAAAAAAATGACTTTCATTTTAACAAAGCTAGAGGTAATCCAAGCCACAGTAAAAGTGTGGAATTACCCTACAGGGTCATAATGAGAATTAAGGTCATTTCTGTCTAAGGAAGATGTACAGCAGCAGTGCTTCAGCTTGCTGTGACTCTGTAAGAACAGTGGTTGTGTAATCTGAGTTGTGAAGATACAAAGTATCAAAGTTGTAGTGTTGCAACTGAGAGAGGACACACACTATTGTTGTGTATCTGTAACTGAGAGAGGGGCACATTGTAGTTTTGGTGCCATAGCTGAGAGAAGGCACTCACTGATGTTGTGTATCTCTAACTGCAAGAGGACACACAATATTGTTATGTATCTCTAACTGCGAGAGGAAACACACAGTTCTTGTGTTACTATAACTGAGAGGGGAAACACATTGTAGTTTTAGTGCTGTAACTGAGAGAGGACACACACCGTTGTTGTGTTACTGTTACTGAGGACACACACTGTTGTTATGTATCTCTAACTGCAAGAGGACACCCACTGCTGTTGTGTTACTGTTACTGATAGAGGACACACACTGCTGTTGTGTTACTGTTACTGAGAGGGGACACGCACTGTAGTTTTGGTGCTGTAACTGAAAGAGGACACACTCTGTTGTTGATCTGCTGTTGAAAAATGCCTGAGACTTCCTGAGAAATGTCATGCCCCTTGGATCACATTTAATTGAACAGCTCTTGCTCAGGAATTCTATTAAATCATTGTCTTCTTACAGGTGAGCAGCACCCAGATGCACTCCTAGAGTTACAAAAGTGCAGGTGTTAGGAGATTATAATGGTCTGTTACACTGTGTACTGAAAGTTAAAACTGTAATAAAAGCTGCTGGTTCCAATATTAATTTGATGTGTTTTTAATGTCTCTCAGTTTATATAATCCTGTTGTGATCTTTAATATAAGCTATCTTGGATAAAGGCATCAGCTAAATAAGGTGATTTTTATCTTATTATAGTATATTCAAAAGATATTATGGTATTATGAAAATAACTGTTCATTGTGCTGCATAGGCCTCTGTCTCTGACAATCCAGGAAACCTGTCACATTAAGCAGACTATTTATGGTTCAGTTTTATTGGCTGACTTCAACAGGCAGGACTGGCAGTTGATTCAGAAAAGGAACGCAGGGCCACAGATGTAGCTTATTGTAGACCTGCCCTGTCACCCCCGGCAGCTGCAGGAGTTGTGCTGATCTCCCAGGTGGATCTGAGGCTGGGAGTCGGATGCAGTTTTGCTGATTTCCCAGGCAGAGTGCTGTGGAGCTGTGTGTTTCTGGAAAGACCTTTCTTAGGGACGGCTATTTTTTCTCCTGGCTCTATACTAATTCACTGAGTGCAAGAGGATATGAGGACGATGTACCAATGTGCTGCAGCTCAGTTTTGCAAAGCATAACTAATTCCATCCTGTTTCAAGTAATATTCCAAAGTTCAAAACTTGTTGACAGAGGAAAGAGGAGGAATGCTGGGAAATCCCTCCCGAGCAGTGAAGCTTTGCCTTCTGAGCCGCATGTGCCATGCTGAAATCAGAGTGATTGTGCTGCCAGCGGGCTGTTCTTCTCCCTAATCTCTCTCCCATCTGTTACTCGGGCACCTGGTCCTCCAGTGGATATATTTCAGGATGAGCAATGCCAGCTCTGGACACCAATGTCTTCTGCTGCCCTTTTACAGCCTCATGCCGGTCACATGCAGCACCGCTGTCCTCTAGTCTGTGTGAAGCTGGCTGGACCATCAGTTACCACTGACGGCTCTGACTCTGCTGGCATCCCTCATGACCCCCACATGAGAGAACCCAGTGTGAAGTAGGAGAGACTAGGACTGACTCAGATGCAGATGCAGAGAATACATGTGACTTGTTTTTAGGAGGTTAGGCATTAGTCATCTTTGCAGAATGATCTGAAGATCTGAAGATGTACAGTAGCTGTACAGTATCTGAGCCCGTCAAAGCCTGGTCGTCTGTGAAAGAACTAGGCCTAAGTCCAGTGTTGGAGCAGATAATGCTTCTAAAACTAAACATTTTTAAAGTCTGTCAGCCTCTTGCTGTGGATGAGCTGGGAGAGAATGGCAGTTCAGTTCACATCCCGGCGCAGGATCTGCTGCGATCTTGGCCTCCTGGAGCTGAGAAGCAAGCAGCAGCCCTGCAGCTGACAGCGTCGCGACAGACAGAGGAACCTGTGGGCTGAGCTCTGCTTTACAGTTACATTTAGACGCCAGTCAAATTGACAGCGCAGGTACAGTCGATACCAAGTGCTCACGCGTGTACAGTAGCAAGAAAAAAACATCATAAATAGAAGAAGGGTGGCACAGGTCTGGGAGAATCAGCCGATGACAGGGACTGGAGTCTTCCCATAGAGCCATTGTTATCCTCTGCTACACAGCGAAGAGAGTGATAAAAGGGACCAACAAATTGCTGTAGCAAAAAACAGATAAGCATGCATCTTAAATTTGGGGTACATTGTTCAGCAGGCTTTTCAGGTCTCATTACAGATATTAATTACAGATATAGTATCAGATACAACAGGAAAATTGCTGCCATTGAGCACAGCAGCATCACTTCATTTATTCCTGTAAAGGAATACAATTCCTGAAAAGACATGTCAGATGCAGAATAAATCCTTGGATATCAATGAATAAAATTGTTCACAATCTTGAAAGAAAATGACTAAATTAATCGAACAGACTACTTTAGGATCAGCAGTGAGAACAAAGAGAGGTTGGTGTCTGGAACAAGCTTCTCAGCCATATTGTTGGACTTATTTTCATCTGATCTTTCAAGAACCATAAAGAGAAGACCTTAGATCAATTAGCTAACAGTAAGGAAACACTTGATGGTCCAAATGACCTCCTCAGGTTTCTAAGCTTATATTCTTGCCCTGCAGAAACTGGTGGGTTGTTATGCTCCTCCTGTCTTTACTATAGTTGTTCTTGTCACACATCTGTATAATTGATTTCCTGACTTGTTTTCTTCTTAAGCCCTACCCCTGTGAAACATCTGAAATAAAGGATGTCAAGATTTATAAAAGTAGGATATGCAGGAACAGGAACACGGCAAAGATGACGGAGGACTGATGTGTCTGTCTGATCAGTCTGCAATCTGTCTGTCTTCTTATTGGGCCGCCTCTTTGCTTCCGACTGTGATATATTTCTGTAGAACAGAAGAGGGGGGTTGTGCTCACACTTGGGGGTCGGCTGGGCTGAGGGCTGCCCAGTCAGTCACGCTCCTCGGCTGTGTTTGTGCGAGCAGGAGGCAGCTGTGTGATTGATGCACAGGGGCGCTGCAGTGACAACAACCCACAAGCAAGGGGCCTCGGGGAACTAGGAGATGCGTCACAGTAACATATTAATCAAATGGCAGCTTGATGGCTGGAGAACGGGGGGGCACAGGTGTTTATAGGCCCATTTGAAATAGAAATTCTTTATAGAGGCATCATCTGTGTGACACCGTACACAAACACAGCAGTAACCTACTGCATCATACAAGACCTTGTGCAGCAGGATGATATTTATACCACACAGTCAGAGATAATCAGACAGCTTCTCTCCATCTGGAATGAAGCCCCTGGCCTCCAGCTGAAGAGCTCTGGTGGGACCAGACAGTGTGGGGCCGGTTTCAGAGATGACAAGCAGTGACCAGTCCTGTTTGCAACGAGTGAGCTGCCCTGGGCAAGTGACATGGAGCCTTGCACTAGAAAACTATTTGGTAATTTTTGTAAAATGGTCTGAGCTGAAACTTTCAGAAATGTCTTCTTCATGTCTTGGAAGTGTGCCTGTAGTCATTGTCATTCCGGAACAGAAATGCTGTTCAGACAGAGCGGTAAACAATGTGACGAAGGAGGATTCTGTGGTTCTTAAAGAAAACCAACATTAAATATTTAAATAATTCTGCATTTTATTATTGCATTTAAGTCTTTCTTATGAACATAAGAAAGACTACAAACTCCAGTTCATTTATCTGCTAGAAGCTAATGGATCCGAAGGTCTCGTCCAGATGGTTCTTGAAGGAGGCTAGGGTCCCACAACCCCTGTTATCAAGAAGTGACCCCTGCTTGCGGGTTCAAATCCACTTCCACTTCATTGCTGGTTCTGACTTTGTTTACTTGAATCAGGTTCTCTTGTAGTCTTTTCCGTCTAAAAAGACTAAAAAGATTCAGTTTCTCCAGCCTGTCACTCTAGAACCTTCTTTTAAAGCCTTTTTTTCTATAACATGGTGACCTCAAATGCGCTAATTGTTCTAAATGAGATCTAACAGAACAGCCCTTTATTTAGATTTGATGTTCCTTACTATGTATCCTAACTTCCAGGTTTTGTTTCTACTGCTTCCCCACAGAGTCAAGGAGCTGACAGTGATGTGTCAACACAGACACCCTAGTCTGTCATCAGCTGCTTCTTCACGCTCAGTGTTTCACAGCTCATATCTACCCTTCGCTTTTGCTACTAGCGTGTCACAAGGACTAAACAGCATCTGCTCAGCCTTCAGTTGAATCTCAGTTGAATCTCCTCCTTTTTGAATTTACACTATGTTTCCTGCTGCTGCTCTTTTTTAATTGTCTGAAAACTACACTCATTTACTAACTGTACCAGAACCTGGACCATTAACACTGAATGAGTAACAGCAGTGGTCCTAATACAGACACCTATTTCACCCCACTAATTTTCTTCAGTTCAATTCAAAACACTTTATTCACACCCAATGGGGGCAATTTAAGATAATTAATCCCTTATCTATACTCTGTTTTCTATCCATTAATCAGTTCCCAAATCCTAATACATGCGTTAAATTGAATGCTGTCTGTCTGCAATTTGAAAAGATGATTTTTATGAGGACCATTATCAAAAGCCATCTGCAATTCTAAATATACCATGTCATGTGCAATGTGTATCCATTACATAATTACTTGTGGTGCTTGTTGAAGATCTTTAACAAGTTAGTTAAGCAAGACCAACCATTTCTCAAACCATGTTGACTATCCCTACTGAGCTACCAGCGCTAGCATCCAAGATGAGTATCCAGCCTGTACCAACCCAAACCCTTCTGTTGCCAGGGCAACCGCCTCCCCGGGGGCTGTCTTTCCAGCCATGTTGCCATGACCACAAACTCCATTACTATGACAACTGCTCACCTTTGTCATCATCTTCTTTCTCAGTCTCTTCTTTTCTTCGTCACCTCCTCCCTTTCTGTCCTCACTTACATGGTTTATGAGTTTGATCCAGCAGGTCAGGGATCAGAGTGGTGTCTGTGGGGGAGGTTTTATTTATAGTTGTTATTCTTCCTTTAGTTTATTAACCACAACGAAATCTGAACTGAACAAAGTACACTCTGTGTTTTTCTCTGGAACCTGAGACTTCTAGCCAAGCAAAATACATAAAACTCAACACCCAGTATCACCAGGACAGTGAGTGAGAGGGAGGCCATTGCTGGGACAGCAGCGGAGAGCTGAGCTGTGGGCCATTGTTTTTTAACGAGCAGTGATGAGTTCTAATCGCACATTGAGGCTGATCTGCAAGGCCCTCAGTATGTTTAAGGGATAAGCGATTAGAAACCACAAGACTTTAAATCCCATCACCTCAGGAGCCTGGGAGAGAAGCCAGGTCTGGTCAAGGGTGAAATGTGTCCTGGTTTCAATGCTGCTGCCTCACTGCTCCAGCACAGGGACCTGCCTGTGTGATCTCCTGCTTGTGTGGGAATCCTCCAGGTGCTCCAGTTTCAGAGCACTTCCCACTGACATGCAAGTTAGGACATACTGAGGGGGTCTGTTCCCAGTAACCCCAGTACCAGCTATGAGACAACAGAGACACAGAACAAAATACGTGTGATGGACTTCATGGCGTCATCTTATTTCTGGCTTATAAGCTCTTCTGATTAAATAGACATTTCACTGAAACAGGCAGAGGTAAAGAGCTTAGGAATTCATCAGCTGAGCAGTGTCTCTAATGCACATCTCCGATGCTTGATAATGGAAACTCAATAAAACAGCAGTGCAGGTGCTGGTAAGCAGGAAATCTGCACTAGTATTTTTATCAAGCTTTGGACTATTCACAGCACGCAAAGCCCTTCACAATAGCAGCCCCTACTACCCCTTTGATCGCCTGAGCTTAAACAGGATTGTGGAGGTTTATTAGAATGTTTCGTAATGTAGTTGCCAAGCTTTGTATGTAACACACACGTTAACATTAATTTACTACAGATGTTGCTTAAAAAACTTTTGCAAGCTCCATTTTACTGGAAATAATTTAGAATTTAAAAGAGCTGTACAGTATTTCCTAAGATGTAGCGATCAGAAAACACTGGGTCAAGATGTACCAGACAGCTGCTGTTTGTGCCAGCTCTGCTTTATGCTTTATGCTGTGTCACAGCCATGTTGTCTGATTTGAATGTGAGCCAGCTTTGTGTTTCAGAATAGTGTTTCTTGTCATCAGCCTGATCCTTATACTGTTTTGATTATCACAGTTATAGTCAATGATAGTCACTGTCCTACAGGGATTCACCTGTCCACACTGGAAGAAGGAGCATGCTTTTGCAGTAGTGGATTGCTAGGACAGAGGTTAGTGATGGATTAGGCACCATGGGTACAGCAGTGTCCCAGGCTAATACCATTAATGCTTTGCTGTTTCTTGAGGTCTCACACACGGAACCGGTATTCACCAGCGATGGAATCCGGTGGGATGATGCGGGAGGTGGGCCGGACTGGGCTGGCATTCCAGGGCCCAGGGGGTAAGCTGCCCTGCGGCTGTGTGCTGTGTGCTGACACAGCAGAGCTCCTGTGAGAACTGGCGCGGGGCCGAGCCACAGTCCCGCCTGTCTGTCTGGGCTGTGACAACAAGAGCGCAGCCCGGCCCCTCTCCCCTGGAGGGGGATCAAGGGACTTAGAGGCCAGCTGTGTTTGATCTGCGCCGGGTAGCGCCGGGCCGCACCGGGCTGAGAACCGCAGCCTGCCAGGCGGTTAACCCTTCCCCTGCAGACTCGCAGAGACGACTGGGCTGCAGAAGACCGGCCACTGTGCCGTCAAGCTCACAGGTGTGATGCTTTGCAAATCTGATTCAAGCAACTTCAGTCCTGCAGGTTATGCAAAATAATTACCATTTCAGATGAGGCAGATCAGAACTTTCTTCCCATTAAAGATGCAAGCCCGCACTCAAGATCATGATTAGTTTGCATTTCAAACATCTTGACTTCGAATGGCCCCACTCTTTCATTCATGATGTAGATTATAATGTTTGCTGTGTCTCCTTTTTCTTTTTCAAATCCAAACCAAAGTTGATGTATCTCAGTAATTTTGCCCATTTTTGAATCATTGTTCCCATTTCTTCCCATTTTGCTGTCTGGTGTTTGATTACACTTTGTCCCAGAGAACCAGGGATCTGCAGCCCACAGTAAACTGCATTGTCTCTGTGATGCTGTAGCATCTGTGGTATTTTCTCTTCTCCTGCACTCTCATTAATAAAACTGTAAGAGGGGCCCATCTAGCCCATTTGGCTTCTCATCCAGATGTTTCTTAAAAGAAGCCAGGGTTTCACGGCTTCAAGAACATGGCTGGTCAGATTGTTCCACACCCCTGCAACCTTTTGTGTAAAAAAGTGCCTACTCTCCTTGATTTTAAATGTACTTCCTCTTCATTTCTACTTGTGCCATCTGACCTATGTTTCACACATTGTTTCTGAAGATATGCACTGGGCTGACTTTTTAAGTAACTTTGAGGATTTTGAATACAGTATTAGAGATTATTAGAGATTATCGTGGTTATTAGAGATTGCGCACATTACACTTTGGCAGGAGAACCTTCCGTCTGGACAGAGGGGAAACAGGCAGCTTCTGTGCTGGCCTGGAAGTAGGGCTGGAATAGGAGGAGGCTCCTCAGCCAGTAAGGAAGAAGGAGGATATCAGTGGAAGCGGGCTGTTGCCAAGGGAGGTTATCTGACACATTAGCAGTGGCAGTAATGATATGACGAATGACTTATTAAACCAACTGTAGGTAGATAGCACCTGCACATATCTCTGTTATCTTCTTTAAACACCTTACACAGGTTAGCACATGCAGATCACAGGAGCTCAAGGATACGGCAGGCTGTGACGCAGCTCACTGTGCGCTGTGCCTTGTTTTCACTTCTGTAACAGCGGCACCGTGGATTTTTACTTATTACAAGGCAAACCAGTGCAGAACCGAGGCTCCTGGTGACTCCAGTCGTGAGGACTGGAGGGCAGAGTGCAGGAGGGAGGGTCTGTCCGAGCAGGGGGCAGGTGGAGAGCAGCTCTCACTCACCCTCAGCAGTCAGGAAGGCAGGGGGATGGAGGATGGACCATCCACAATCACAGGGGCAAAAAGAAGAATAATAGTAGTGGAGAAAACAAGTTACAAATAGCAGGAAAGAGAAAGAAGAGACATGAGCTTGAAGTCACTAAAGAGTCATTTTATAAGCAGTTAGTGGGCACTGAACTTAACAGGCGTGTTGGGAGGGTAAAGGGACCAGTCGAGGCCCAGCTGGGCCCTGACCTGGGAGAGACAGGAAGTTACTTTCCTGCGAGCAGACCGGAGCACACAGCACAGTCTCCATCCCAGCGGAGCGAAACACAGGAAGGCACAGGGGAGGGAAGGTGATGACATTTACCCAAGCCTCAAAATCCTGCTGTATGATGAAGGGACTTTCAGGGCTTTCTGGTGTGAAAAAACACTTCCTTTAAAACTGCTTTCACAGTGTACAGTCAGAGCATTGCATCAGCTGTAAACAACATCTTGCACTGATTGTTCACTTACTTTCCAGCTAGTTTCAATTAACTGTGTGGCCGGCCACTGCGGAGAAGGCAAAATCAAGGCCCAGGCAATTCCAGATGGAGAAGAGAAGCTCCAGGTTCGAGACCCAGGAGGCCATTCAGCTCATCCTGCTCATTCGGTGGCTCGTGGCTTGTCACTCCCACAATCTCCTGAAAGTCCCTGAGGAACCAGCTTCAAAAGCATGGCTGGCCAGCTTGTTCCAGACACCCACCAGCCTTTGTGAAAAATGATTTTATGTCAAACCCATGTGTGCTCGTTTTTAAGTCTGCCTCTTTCATTTCAGGTATTTTATTAAAAATGTTGGATTGATAAAGCCTAGAATCCAATTTCTTTTGTGTTGGTTGAGATGGGCAGTGCCCATTCAGGGTGCAGGTGGCTCTTTCAGGGATCCCAAACTCAATCAAGTGGTTCCTGGTTCCTGCAGCTGCAGTGCGGGAGCTTGCAGGCTGCAGCGAGCCCTGGGCTGTGTGGCAGCTGCAGCGCTTCCCTCACAGTGGAAGTGCAGAGAGAGGCAGCTGGCGCGTGGTGCAAGGTGCGCTGCTGTTGCATCAGCTGCAGAGTTTCGCTGTGAACACTCAACCTGAGAAATGCAAACAGGCAGAGAACAAGGAAGGGCTGGGTGACAGAACTCCACTGCAAAAGCCTGAAGAGTTACATCAGGTCCTGTCAAGTCACACAGGACTGCTTGCGCTGAACCCCAGGCTGGCCGCAGTGTGTCCACTGCTGCTGCTCTGTTGCTTGGGCACAGAACTCCAGACACGTTAAGACCTGCCTTCTAAATCCATGCTGTCCTATTAACAGCCAGACAGATGATCCTCTAGTTTAGTTCTAATTATCAATATCATATAACTTTACATGCACCTGAAATGAGGCTTATTAGTGAGTTATTACTTGATTCCATTTTATCCGCCTCTTCATGGAGTGCTATACTATTTATTTTCCCCAGTAGGCATTACTCCTGTCTGGAGCATCGATGGGAAGAGCTGTGTTAGTGGCCCTTGAGTAAGTACAGTTGGCAATAAAAAGGGACTGGACATTTGTTTAACTGAAGTGCTTCTCGTACCAGGAACTCTTCTGCCTTTTCTATGCTGATATGGTTTAATACAAAACTTCCTCAGCATGAGGCATACTGGCAACTTCTTCCTCAGTGGAAACCGTGAGAGAGTGAGTACAAAAGCCATTTTCTTTTCGTCATCTGAAGCTTTTGTTATTTTAGTGCTCCTTTTTCCCCTTAAACTTTGTAAGTGAGGGGGCTTTGTTGCACATTTAAGAAGAGAAAACCTGAGAATATTATGTGCAGTTTTGGGGGTCGAGGTAAAGAGCTGCGTCAGCATGTGTAGCTGCGAAGGAACAAGTACAGGTTTATTTCAGCTGAAAAGAGAAGGAATAAACCTTTACTTGTTCCTTTGAATATGGGGTCACTGTGTATGACGTTCAGTGCAGGGTGAGCTGCCCTCCAAGACTCC